GAAGTTCCACTAGGCCATGCCCACCATGGCCATGCCCACCCAGCAACTGGGCAGAGAACCAGCTGTTGGGATTTTTGAATCCCATCCCTGCCCATGATCACATGCTCAAAATTCAGGTGCTTGGCAACTAATTCATATTTATGATCGTTGTAGTGTCCTGGGATCAGGTGATCTGCTTTTGTGACCTTCCAACAAGCAAAGTCCATGGGAAAGCCAGATTCACTTAACAACCATGCTAACAATGCAAAGACTCACTTAACAACTGTGGCAGGAAAGGTCGTAATATGAGGCAAACTCACTTAACAAATGTCTCACTTAGCAACAGAAATGTTGGGCTCAATCGTGGTCGTAACTCAAGGAATATCAGTACGTGCCTGCATAGAACATTGCACTTCTAGAAGAGAACTCTAGAAGACTGCCTTTTTGTCAGGACTGGTGTAGGGTGAGGGGTTAAAAGAGGTTAAAAGCCTCCTTAGCTTTAGAAAGAAAAACCCAACGTGGATTTCCAGAGTTATTTCTGATCTCAGCCCCCAAAAAACATGCCCCAAGAATAGACCACAAGTGAATGTTGAACAATGTCATGTCCCTTGTGACGTGTGCTTGTGTGCCTTCAAGTCAGTCTTGATGAACGTCTGCAGTTTTCTTGGCAAGATTTTTCAGAAGTGGCTTGTCATTGCCTTCTCCTTTGGGCTGAGAGAAAGCGACTGGCCCAATGCAGCTGGCTTTAGTGTGCCTAAAGTGGGGACTAGAACTCACATTCACCCAGTGAATCATTATACCAAACTGTCTCTCTTCCTTTGGTGAGTGGACAACCATAATTCCGCTTTGCACCTTAAGTCCAGACCAGAGGTGGTCTTCAGCCGGTTCGGACCAGTTCTGGAGAACCAGTAGCAGACATTTTGAGTAGTTCGGAGAACCGGCAAATACCGCCTCTGACTGGCCCCGCCAACCCCATCTATTCTCTGCCTCCCAAGTCCCAGTTGATCGGCTGGGTCTTCTTTGGTTGCCCTGCACAGGAAAATGGAGCTGGAAAGCAGGTTAGTGGGGTGGGGAGGGAATGGGATTTTGCAGTAACCTTCCCCTGCCACACCCACCAAGCCACACCCAAGAACCAGTAGTAAAAATTTTTGAATCCCACCACTGGTCCAGATGTTTTTCTAAGTAAGGCAAGAGCCTTCTCCAAGGACAGAATCGATACTTTTCACTATGGCAGCAGCGAGACTCCTCTGTGCACAAAAACTGAAAGTCACCTTGATTCCCACTATGGATGAAAGGCTGTAGAAACTGATGGAGTTAGCAGAGGTGGCTAAATTGATTGTTTTGATTAAGGGGAAAAAACACAAATACCTTTATTTCTACTTGGAAACAGCTTCTGGACTTTGCGCTTGAGGTGGAAAAAAAATGAAAGTTTGCTTTTTGGGTTTTACCAATTAGATAGATTTGTTGTTACAGAAATAGCTAGTTTATATTATTATGTAAAAGTAAAACATTGAGGGTAGATGTTACTGTCTTATTCTACTGCACCAAAGGGAGTTGGAAGTCAGTGCCTTTTCTTTTTCCCCTCTTCTTTTCTACACTTCTCCCTTCCCCTTTCCCTCCCTTAATTTTTTGTACTAATTGCTTTTGTATTCTCTTTGTATATCATATTATGTCATGTTTCCTAGTATGATTTGATTGCTTATTGTACCTGTGACTATCATTAATTGTTGTACCTGATGATTCTTGACTCTTGACGAGTGTATCTTTTCTTTTATGTATACTGGGAGCATTTGCACCAAGACAAATTCCTTGTCTGTCCAATCAACTTGGCCAATAGAGAATTCTATTCTATTCTATTCTATTCTATTCTATTCTATTCTATTCTATTCTATTCTATTCTATTC